TAATAGGCTGTTTTTGCTTACGCGTAAAAGCACATTTAGCGCATTTAGCTCTAAATGCTACTCTAAATGTACATTTATCCATACAAAATTCGTCACCTAAATGCAACTAAATGCAACTCCATTTTTGCATTAAGAATCTAAATGCTAAAAGCAACCCTGTGATCTTCCAAAATTTCCACGATTCGAACATGGTTTAAAGAGAAAAACTGGCAACATTGCTTTTTCGAGTATACAGTTGCTAGCTACGTTTCAGTGATCGCCGATCGAGATTTCTTTTATTTTGTATTACATATTTGGATAAAGAAAAGTTTTGAGCGCAATTTCTGATGAAAAGAAACAAATCAAGGAAAAGAAATAACAAATATTACGAATTGGTAATTAAGTTAAATAATTACAATTTTTCAGAAACAAAATCGAAAGGCGACATATAAAAAATGCACGCAAGGAAGAAATGTCTGGCAACACCAGCAAAGTTTTGAGACGATTTTGCGACGACTGCTAGAAAGGGGTGCTCACAGTTTGATGCTAAAAATGTCTCAAAATGTAGATGTCTACATTTTCAGACACAATTTGGAACGAACTGTGAACACCCCAATTGTCACATGGTAAACAAATATGGTAGGTGTTACCATGTTTAACAAAAAGAAAAAAAAGTGGGTACATTTATCTATTGAAAATTGGTTGAAACAAGCCTTTAAACCTTTATAGAAAGTGGTTCGGTTTTCGGCTTGGATCAAACATTTGTGGAAAATTTCGGTTCGGTTAATGGTTCAGCTAATTAATAGAAAAAAGCGGGTTTCCGGTTCAAACCCGGTTCACGTCCCTGTGTAAAATAGTCTGCCTTATCTTGAGTTTCGCCTGAAAAAAAACTCACCCGAAAATTTGTCATCCGCCCATAGTAAAACCATGGAAACCAAAAGTGAAAAGTGAACCGGTTCGGGGAAAATGAAACTCGTGATAAGGCTGAGTAAATTTTCTCAATAATAAATTTTTCGACAGGAAACGTGGTGTTATTGTGTTAAATTGCAAAATATATGATTTATAAAAAGAATTTATAGTGACAATGTTGAAAAACGGCGATTTTTGTGAAAGATTAGCAAATTTAAATGCATCTAAAGTTGTTGAGGCGTTGTTTACTTTTACTTGAGAATTGTCAAAATCGGTAAATCCCAAGTAGCGTTTTTTGGAACGTGCCACATTTGTTCGCTAGATCGTGATGTGATAAAAAGAAAAGCTGGCAGCACTCCGGAAGGTTGCAGAAATCTCTTGAAATATGTTCGAAAAATATATTGATATGGAAAAAACTGCTTTACACAGTCAAGGAAGAAAAATTGCCAAAACTCAATGCAATTTTTAGCAACTTCAAAATTAAATTTTTTTTAGAGTCTAAAAAGTTTGCAATTTAGGTAAAACCATGCAGTTTTTTTTACCTTTTGTACAAACTTTGATCCAAAACCTGAGATCTACCACATTTTTTTCCAGCTTCTACCACACAGAATTTTTTTCAAGTCCGATCACTGCTGCAGCCTCGTTTATCTACACTCACCAAATTCTGTTGCACTTCCAGGTTCCACGAAATCAGGTACATACAAAATGAAATCCAATTCGTGGTAATAATCCCCGAACATAAATGTGCCAGCCTACCCACGAATGATTCGTCGCTCAAGGGGTTAACATCCTCTGTGGCCTGCAACAGTACATACAGCAGAGTTATACGCTTTTTACTATCCACATCATCAAACTCCACCTCAGTAAGGTGCAATACCTGCAACGAATGGAGTCACCTTAGAACCTGCTCAGACCTTAGAACTCACTGACAGTGGAGCACGTTATTTGAGGCCCCGTGCTGCTCTAACCTAACAAACAACACGGCTGCCTCAGTGACGAACCACTAAACACCCAGGCTGCCTCAATGGCTCAACGAAGTTCACCTGAGCGACGCAAACCCAACACGACCAGACCACCTTCCAACATAACAAAGCCTCAACCACACCCCCACCTACACCCCGCCGCAACCCACGAGCGAGGAGAAACCAAGAGCTCCTAGTTCGTCACCCACTCTGTGCGGTGCTGCAACCCAGGGTATACCATACCGTACCGACAATTTAGGTTATGATCAGTACTTCGCACCACTCGATAATGTACGAACAAATTCTTAGGCCATTGTTGCAGTGCAGCAAATCCCTTCTGCGACGCCGCCTACTACCACCAAAGGCAGCACCTCCAACAGCAGCATATACAACAAATTCTCGGCAGGCAACATCACACCATACGAACACCCCGTATTGCGATGAGCCTCCCAACGCACACGAATATATTACAATTCAGATCGAGAATATAATAGTCTGCATGGATCGGCTTGGGATATTGATAGCTACGGTCCAATAGACGAAGCTGCACAGCAATTCAACAATGCTGAACTGCGACGGATACAACAGGCACTGTCGAGATCCCGAACGAAATAATGGTGGAGGCTTCGCGTTCATCTCGCATCACACCGTGCAGTGTCGTCTTATCGCAGCAGACGCTTATCGCTATTGCTATCCGGTCAGGCGATGTCGAACTCCAAATATACACCGTTTACTTACCCCCAGTCCCCAGTTGCCCTGCAGGGTATCATACTAAAATAAAATGGTAGCTAGTGACTTTAACGCGCACCACAACCTTCGGCATTCAAGCCTATCGACTGATCATAGTGGAATATACTTGGCTGAGCAGATAGCCTATTTGACATGCTGCACAATGAACGACGAAGCAAAATAACAATAGTTAACGCTGGTCTGACAAACAGCATCTCGTGGCGAACAATGCGGACGTTAGAATCGGACCATCTGCCCATAATCCTCTCGATGAACCTGCTGACTTTGGTTCCGCCGAACACCGGGCCAATGTCAACTTTAATAAAACTTATTTTACAATTTACTGAAAGTACCTTCGCTGCGATCCCCGCAGCAACTAACATTCATGCAGGTGAGCGTAAGTTCCGCAAGGCTGTCAATGCTGCTGCAGCCTGCTTCATTCGCGTTCTAGCCAACGAGTGTGATAGCCTTCGCCAGGCAGATCCCAGAAATCCCCGCATTAGGGAACTTAATACGGAGATTCGGCAACTAGTAAACCTACATAAGACTTGCAATTTCACCTTTGGTGTGTGTAAAAGCATAAGCAGACGGCGGCGTTGATCAGGATCAACTCGGAAATTAACTGCAGTTGATCCGGATTAAGTCCGAGTTAGTCCGGATTAACGCTGCCGTCTGTTTAAGCTTTAAGCTTTGGTCAACCGTAAGGTCACTGTCCAACCCGACGAAACGAGACTATAGTAGAAATCTCTTTCGGTGACCGTGCCTCGTCGGATCCATGCGCGAGCTATTATAGCTGACAGTTCATGCTGCATCCGCTCCCATGATGAATTATAGGCTTCGCTACTACCGTTTTGCATAGCCCAGCAACAGCACTTAACGCCATAAACACTTAGATAACTCGTGGCCTTAACCGAATCGACATTTTGTTCATTCGTGGCCCACACCAGTTGCGGGCCATCTGTCGGGCGAGATCGTCGCTACAAACGTTGCCGCGATTTCCTAGATTTCACTTGAGGACATCTTGTCACGCTTCAAAGGCGTGTATATGGACCGTTCGCTACAAGATCCTCGCGACGTAGGTATAGAACATTTATATCGAAGATTTGCATAGACTTGTGTACGAAGGGCCTTATGCTGACGACTGCTCGATAATGGCGTTCAGAAATTAAATTGATGACTTGTACTCGAAAGTACACGGTTACCATCACTGCAAGGAGCCTAATCCTCTAACTTACGGAATTCTCGACAACCTTTTTTACTACCTGGACGAAAGAGGTCAGACTACAGCTGGGTATACACGTCGACGGCGAACCAATTTCGACTGTGAACAACCCTCAAATACTCGGAGATATCTTCAATAGTCTGGACTGAAAATAAAATTTTGAAAAAGTGCGACGAAAAACTTTCGTAGTCTTGGTTTTTGTACAGATTTTACGAACCATTCGTAAATATAACGAAAGGACTTTCGTAAAGCCTTTTTTCAGTACAATTTACGAAATCTTTCGTTTATTTTACGAAACACATTCGTAAATTACTGAACAAATCTCTGTACGAATAATTTTGTATATTGTACGAAGGCATTCGTAATATTTACGCATGGTTTTAAAATTTACGAAATCTACAATTCTGTATTCGTACAATTTACTTAATATTTTCGTACATAGTACTAATGCAGAAACATGTTTTTTAAATTCGTACAACAGACGAATATTTTCGTACAATATATGTACTAAATTACTGGAAGTTTAATATTTCATCATATTTTTATGTACTGCGTGTCATTGCGAAATTACTGGTTGGCTACTGTGGGACGTATAATATTATTTTAAAAGTTTTAAGAAGCTTTTGGTGGATAAAAATACAATATAAAATTAAATGTTAAAGCTGTGGATAAATGCTTTTAAGCATACAATATTTTTAACATCGCCCACGCTGAGCCTTGCTCTGCAATGTGGGGCTTCATAAATAGGCAATTTCATCAGTTAGCTATCAACGACAAGCCCAAGCCAGGAACAGACGCTCTACTTNAAAATTAAATGTTAAAGCTGTGGATAAATGCTTTTAAGCATACAATATTTTTAACATCGCCCACGCTGAGCCTTGCTCTGCAATGTGGGGCTTCATAAATAGGCAATTTCATCAGTTAGCTATCAACGACAAGCCCAAGCCAGGAACAGACGCTCTACTTAATGAAATATTAAGTAAGTACATGTATGATTTTTCACTGAAACTTGCCTTTCAGACGCCTTATAATTTTCGTTTAATTTATAGTCGAGAAAGGAAGCAAACATCGAAGAAGCTGCGAATCTGCCAAGTACCTCCACATAAAAACATTGCAAAACATTTTGTTAAAGAAAGACGCTTAAAATTAAGAATAAAAGCAAAATAAACGTGTTGTGTTATTGTTCGTCTTATGTTTTTTACAGTGTGGAGAATGAAAGCGATCGGAAGTTCTACGAAACAATCGCAGTTTTTAGGAAAATAATTTCGTTAAATATAGGACCAATTTTTTTGTTCATTTTACAAAACTTTCGTAAAAAATAAAGAAATAGTACGAAAATCTTTAGTAAGTAGTACGGAATTCGTTCGTAAATAGTACGAATACGTTCGTCAAATGTACTAAGATCTGATGTCTCATATTTTCGTAGTATGTACGAAAACGGTTTTGTACAATCAACGAAAATTTTCGTGGCTCAAAATGACGAAAACTTTCGTAAAATGTGCGTAAGTTTTCGTTATATTTACGCAGATTTTATTTTCAGTGTGCTCTCTTTCCCAGCGCACACCGCACACGACCGCACGCAATGTAAAATGTACGTAAGTTTTCGTTATATTTACGTAGATTTTATTTTCATTGTGCTCTCTTTCCCGGCGCACACCGCACACAACCGCAATTGTCAATAGAGTACAGATCCAAGGTCCTAAAGTCGCCATCCGGCAGCACCTGGGGCAAAGACAAAGAAACGTTGTTGTCAACATACAAGGCAATTTTATTGTACGAGAACGGTATGCTAAGTTCTAGTTATGATGTACATATATGGGTATCGCACATGTTTTGTTGATTTTCCAACAACAAAACGCATGCTAGATTGCAACACAGCAAATTTACACCTGAATCTATAGAAAGCTTTGAAAAGCTTCACCTCCAGGCTTTGTGTTGGTCGTGACTTTATTCCATATAACCACTGTTTCTTATAAAAGTTCTTTTAGGCATTTAGAGTACTGCGCAAGCCCTTCCTATCGTGAAAGCCTTAGTTTCTAGTTGAGTCTCTTTAAAATCCAATTGAGCTTTCCTGTGTCCCCCAATTTTTTGTGAACCGCTCATTTGCTTCTTTACCACAGCTGTGCAGTTGAATTATTCAGCCATATTCCGAGTGTATTTCTGCCATGAAAAACAGCTTCTCATAAAAATACAATCGCCGTTCGGAGTCGGCGTAAAACTGTAGGATAGATCAATTAAGCACCAGAGGTAATAACTGGCAAAGAACGTTTTGCAGTATCACCGACGATATGTGTAAGCGCCAATCTGTTATTATTATTATTATTTGATTTTTAGAGCGGCAACCTGTCGTACTTATCTTTTCTTCTGTAAAAAGGTCTCTTAGCCCTGCATCTCATAATTGTGCGTAAAGAGCCAGACTTCGGTGTGATATTGATTTCCTAACGACGCAGCATCGCTTATCATAAGTAATGCAACATTTTCTCTATGCTCTGAAAGCAAATTAAAAGCGCAAGAATGTACCCAATCAAGCTCTTAAAATGAGATCTTAACTCGATACAAACAAGCAGTTATGTTTTTTTGTTTTGTATTTGGCACTCTAAACACTGGTTTACAAAATATTATTAAAAGATGTTCCCTTAGAGGTATACATACGNCTCTTAAAATGAGATCTTAACTCGATACAAACAAGCAGTTATGTTTTTTTTTTGTTTGGCACTCTAAACACTGGTTTACAAAATATTATTAAAAGATGTTCCCTTAGAGGTATACATATATGTAGATGCCTCAATTGGAATTTCTGAAACCGCCTATAAGTTTTGAAGTCTTCACATACACCTCCAAAAAGAAGCGAGTAAGTGGGCTTTAGGTAGTTCTGAAGAACTCTCTAAATATTAAAAAAGAAATCGTGGCCAGTCCAAGTATCTACATAAGTATATGCATAACGTTTTTTTGTAGACTAGTGTCGTTATTATAACACAAATGAACCGGCTTTAAACAAACTTGTCTACTAGATGAGATGCTATGCACACAAATACGTATATAATTGACTTGTTTATTGTAAAAATGGTTACAATCTGAAAAATGCTTATTCAGTTGTTCTAAACACGTTAGGCGCGTCGGTTGTGTAACGGACAACGTTAATCATTTTAGTGGATACATATGTACATATGCTTGAACACAATAATAAATGCACAATTATAAACAATTAAAATTGAATATTAATATATTTAAAAAGTACTAATTTAGAGTGAGCGTGCAACTTTTTATAATAGCACTGTTATTTATGTAGCTTATCTCTTTTCTAAAAACATGACAATATTAATCGAGTTGGTGGTTTTGTTGATTGGCTTAGCCTTTATTTGGGATTATTTCTTCAAAAAGCGTCGCAATGATATATTACATTATATGCCAGGCCCTAGGGCACTGCCGGTGATTGGTAATATACTCATGTATCGCGGCAAAAGTCAAGAGGGTAAGTGAATAATAGGTATGATTTTAATTGATCAGTATTACTAATTGCTTTTGATTCCTTATCGCTCAAAGTTAAACAATAAAAGAAAATAGCAATGCAAGTTATGGCTACGTGTACTTATCATGCAAAAATGCGACGTGTCCAGGATGACTCAGGAATCACCTGCAAAGTAAATTTTTTAACCTTTTTAATAATAAAAATAATAATAATAATAATAGATTGGCGCGTACACATATGTTAGTGTTGGCGAAGTTCTCCTCCGATTTGGACCTACAGTTTTACGTCATCTCCGAATGGCGATGGTATTGTTATGAAAAGCTGATTCTCATAACTAAATACACTCGCAGGTTTGCCATTGCCTGCCGGGCACGACCGCTATTAGAAAAAAATTGATTGTTTTTTTTTTATTTTTTGATGTTGGTCGTATACTGGGCTTGAACCCAGGCCCTGCTGAATGGTAGCGCGCACTGCTAGCCATAAGTAAAAGTAAAAGTTCAGATTCAAGCGCGGGCTCGAGGGGAAGATTCTGATTCTATCCTAACGCCGCATAAAAACTTAATTTTGCTGTAATATTTTTTAGCCGACTTCATATAAAAAGGAGAAGGTTATCAATTCGGTGGAACGACACGCCAAGGGTGATCCGACACTTATTTTTATTAGTCGCAATCATTGGATTATGAGGAAACTAACGGTACTCCTAAATTTTTTACGAGCATTTAAGTTGGTTGTTTTTTTTTTTCTTAAAAGTGACTTGCCAGTTTCTATTATTACTCGCGTACATATCTTACTTTTGCTTATTTTATTTATATATTACTTAATGAATGTGATCGACGTGCGCCAATTTTTTCCTTTTATTTCTGAGATTTTTGTTTCGTTCAGTTGCATAGAAACATCCTTTTTTATTCAGTTTATACTCTTCTATATATTAGCACTTTATAGGTGTAATCGAGCGGCTCTGTGTCGTTCACTTTCGTACCAACTACTCTTCTTTATTTTATATCTTACATTTTATTTTACCATTTATTTTCCACTCCCTTTGATCAACAATTCTCTGAGATTTTATTCTACTAACCTATTCACCAGTTTCCCTTTTATTTTTATTTGATCCGTTATACTTAATTTTATGACTTTTCTTTATGGTTCTCGCGGCAATTTAAATTATCACTAACCCATACTTAACTGCCTTCTTCTTCGTGTTATCTGGCGCTGCAACCGCCTAAGCGATTTTGGCCGAGTTCGACAAAGCACGCCAGTCGTTTTTCTTCTGAGCGAACTGAAGCCAATCGGAAATGCCTTTACTTTGCATTCTCCACTTGGTCTTTCCATCGTGAATACCTAGTCTATGGTGGATTTTTCAGGTCTAAAGCTAGACAGTTCGTTGACGGTGGATCCAAAACACTGGAAGCGTGCCTTCCGTCTATCACAACATGATCGATTTGGTTTCCCGTTTTTTGATCTGGATACAGCCATGTAGCTTGGTGGATCTTTTTATGCTTGAACCTGGTACTGCTTACTACCGTGTTTCGAGCCCCGACGAAGTCGATCAGTCGCACTCCGTTGTCGGACGTCTCGTTGTAGAAGCAGAATTTTCCGACGTTGGTTGGTCGCTTCCTTGTCCAGCCTGGCATTCAACTCGCCAATCACGGTTATTCCAAGCGAGATTCCTTACGAGGACAACAACCAGCCAGGCAGTGTCACCTTCCCCATTAAGGGTCTGGACATTCCAGGTGTTTGCCGTGGTCGCCACCAGAAGGGGTCTCATCCAAGGCTTTATTGTTCTTCTTCGCTGGAATTGGTTTTTGCGTGGTGGGTCCCACCAAAGCTCCCTTAACTGCCTTCAGGATCTTTATAAATTTATAGTTAGTAAGCAACAAGCTCTCTATTTTTTCACCGATTTCCGTTGTTGTTTTCATTTCATATTAAATTTGTTTTTCTGCATTTTATTTAAACATTCATATGTCACTTCCCTGCGTACACAGTCTTCAATGAGGAGCGAACCACTTTTTGCTTTTATTTTAGACTTAACTTCTTTAGGTGTTAATTTGCATTTTTTTCTTTTCATTTCTTTTTTATATCACTCCTTCTTCACTCCACTAACTTTCTTCCACTAAGTAGCACTTTGGATCAATTTCAATAGTTACATTTCATAAAATAAGCTACCACTCCTTCACATCATTCTCCTTTTCTCCAACACATTGCAGATATAATGAGTTTCATTGCTTCGAATCGCGAAAAATATGGCCCACTTTATCGTGTCTGGCTGCTCAATCAATTGGGCGTATTTTCTTGCGATCCCGCTGATGTTGAAGTTATACTCAGCAGCCCACACTATATCACGAAGAATAATCTCTACGATCTACTACAAGTTTGGCTTGGTACCGGCTTACTCATGAGCACCGGCCGCAAGTGGCATTCACGACGCAAAATTATTACGCCTACATTTCATTTTAAAATACTGGAACAATTTGTAGAAATTTTCGACCAACAAAGTGCAGTACTCGTGAAAAAGTTAGAAGCATTGGCAGATGGTAAAACTGTGGTGAATATTGTGCCATTAATATGCTTGATGGCGTTGGATGTGATTGCAGGTGAGTGGCATGTATATTTCCTATTGAGTTATAAATTGTGCTTTTGTTGCGACTCCTTAAGCTGCCTTTACATGAGGCGATTTTTTGACAGGTGATAATCGCCTGCAAAAGTTGACTTGTTGTCTACTTTGAGGCAAGCGATTTTTGAATCACCATTTACACGAGCGATTTTTCCAGACAATGTTGAATCGCCTGGAAAATCGCCTCATATAAAGGCAGCTTTACACCTGAACTCACTTCTCTTCCTCTTCTTTAACCAGAAACTGCTATGGGCACCAAAGTTAATGCGCAAATGAATCCAAAGTTTCCTTATGTCATGGCGGTAAACACGTAAGCTTCTCATGTTTCTTTGTCGCTTCTAAGTCATACCGATTCTTCACTCTTCTTATTTACACAGCGTTGCAAATATTCTTGCGAACCGCTTCATCAACGTGTGGCAGCGCATTGATTGGATTTTCCGTCTGATCGCCCGCGAAGATGCTAAGAAATTCTTTTCTAGCATTGAGCTAATGCACGAATTCACCGAACGCATCATTGTGGAACGTCGTGCTGCACTTGAGCAATCACTCGGCGGCGACGCCATACCAGCCACTGATGCAGAAGTTGGCATGAAACGCCGCATGGCTTTGCTGGATGTGCTGCTGCAGTCCACCATGGACGGTCAACCCCTCAGCAATGAAGATATACGCGAAGAGGTGGATACATTCATGTTCGAAGGGCACGACACCACCACCAGCGCCTTATCATTTTGTCTCCACTTGATCTCGCGACATTCGGCGGTACAGGCGAAGTTGTTCGAGGAGATACGCGAAGTGCTGGGTGACGATGAGGAGCGAGCGGTGACGCTGCGCGATTTGGGCGAATTGAAGTATTTGGAATGTGTAATCAAAGAGTCATTGCGGCTGTATCCACCAGTACCGCTTATTGGACGCAATTTCGACGAGGATGTTAACTTGAGTGAGTATCAAAGCAGATCTTTTAATCCGAATTCTCATTTATTCGCTCCGTAGATGGCAAAATTGTACCAGCTGGCACAAATTACACTATCGGCATTTTTGTTATGCTCCGTGATCCGAAATACTTTCCCGAACCAGACAAATTTCGCCCTGAAAGATTTCTCAACGAATCTATTGAAGGTGGTGAGAAAATGAATCCGTACAGTTATATACCCTTCAGCGCAGGACCACGCAATTGCATTGGTCAAAAATTTGCCATACTCGAAATGAAGAGCGCAATAAGCAAAATTCTACGTCACTTTGAACTTTTGCCGCTTGGTAAGAATGTAAGACCTTCAATGAGCATTGTACTGCGTTCACAGAATGGTAGCGAAATGGGATTCAAGCCGCGTAATTATGCAAAGGCTAGCGAATAGGAGCGGAAAAGCAGGCAGGAAATTACTTAAAGTTTCAATGCCAGTGTAGTAATCAAGGACAAATAAAATGTGTATTGCGAAAGGCATTTTATTAGTATTTAAAATAGACGCAATATTAAAACACTGTAAAATTGTAAAATGAAGTAAAGAACAAAATACTTGTTGGGATTCAAAAAAAAAATGAAAAANACACTGTAAAATTGTAAAATGAAGTAAAGAACAAAATACTTGTTGGGATTAAAAAAAAAATGAAAACCCGAACTTTAAACTCAAAAATATGTTACATGCAAATTTTGAAAGATTAGTGAAACTTGCGGGTTTTCGAGACATTTTCCAGTTTAAGAGAAAATACAGGGGCGACCGCTGTTAGAGAAAACTTTCTCTAATTTTAGATGTTGTTCGGAGCAGGGATCAGGCCCAGGGCTTCTGGAGCGGTAGTACGCAACCACTTAGCCGCAGCGGCTGCCTTTCTGCCGAAGTAGTCACTAGCAGAACATAGAAGAATACAATATTTAGTATAAGTCTCATCCCTTACGTTCCATTTTACGTCAGTGGAGTATCTCCAATGAGACCATCTTAAGAATATTCATGAATGGCGAAGTTAGTTACTGTATTCACAAAACACTCCCCAAAATCTCTTTGGGGAATTTGTATGCTGTTACAACAACAACAACAAAGGCATCAACCCGCCATGATGTTTCAATTTCTCCGTTAGAGCGAGAATTAAAGTCATCTAACAGTAGGCGCTGGAAACTATTGCTTTAGACAGGATTCGACCAAAGAAGGAAAATAGATGGTTTGGATAGGCACGTAAAAAGCTGGTTAGTATCTTGCGGGTAGTATTCACATCTTAAGCATACACTAAGCATGTTCGAGTTGATTCTGGATGAGTAGAGATTTAAAGTAACGCACGCGTCACAAGGTAGCCTACACGCCGAATCTTTCCAAATGTATCTCTTTTTGCTCCACGACCAGTGGCAAAACCGCCTAAATCGCGGTTGTGGCAGAAATGAGATTTGGTAATCCTGAACTCCAGGCTTCGAGATTTATGCATAAAAATCGTTAAATCGTTATTAAAACAACAGATTTGGAAAATAATAGCTATCAAGGCAATACCTTCAAAGAACAACCCGTTTTTTCGCTCTCCTGTAAAATTTGAGTGCCGTACGACAGGCGGTTTTGCAATTGGGCGATGGGCGGTTTTGCAAAAACATCGACGAAACCGGCCCTTATTCTTCATTATGGAAATGTGAGGTCTTCACTTCACTTCGGCTCAAACAACTGCCTATTTGAGGGGTGAAAACATCGAATTACTAGTACGTCCACCGTACAGTCCTGATTTGGCACCCAATAACCTCTTTTTTGTGCCCGATATCCAAAAATAAATTCCATCTTCAACGATTCTCGACGGTAGAAGAAGCGGTTGATGCGCTTAAAACACCTGTCTTAAAGATACTACTAAATGATTTCAGTGAATGCAGATGGGCGAAAAACGCTGCAAGGAACGAATACTTTTAAAGCTACAATTTAACCCCGACTACTTATGCATTACATCTACAGTTTTAAAGTCACTGCAGCTGATTATTTGCATGTTTGGCATTTCCTCTTCAATAATACCTACATATGTATGTAGGTAATAAAAAAAAAATAACGTCATCCCACTAACGGCTCTCCTAATAGTTTTTTACGCTCTCCCATTCAACTCGAAAAGAATTTTACAACCCAAAAGTTCTATTAAATTTTTAGTTTTTCTGCTGTGCATTTGCCAGTTGTTGGTAGTCAGCTTAAGGTGTTTGTGCGGCAGCTTTTAGTGTACGAATAAAATAAATTAAAATAAATAAATCGATTATATATCAGGCAAGACCGCTGCTACTTGCACTTTCGATAGCGCAGAAGAAAAACGTGTTGCGCAAAAGTAGAGAAAAAATAAAATAAAATACATGAGTGAAAATATACATACATAACAATAACAAAGTGACAACCAATTTGCAATAGCAATAAATTAAAAACCAGCAATATTTAGCTTACAGCTTATTACCCGTCATAGTTATAACGTAAGATAAAAAATTGTTACATACATATGCATAATTGCATGTGATTACAAATGTACGTACATGTGTATATTATTGTGACTCAACGGCTATTTTTCTGTTTCTCCGTTTTTGTGTTTAGTGCTCTGTTATTGTCTGTATTTTGTTGCTGCTGCTATGCGCCGGGCCTCTCTGTTTTAGTATTTGACCGCAAACGAGAGCGCGCAAAACCATAATGCACACACACACTCCCATAACCGATATGAATGGGAAGCCATATTAAAAAAAAAGCCAAACAAAAAAAATAATTTAAATAAAAATGATAATGATAATGAGAGCGCAGAGCGTAATCAAATTAAAAATGCATAAAATGTGAACACATTATTAAGTGGTTGTAGAGGTTAAATTTTGATTTGATCAGTTGTGATTGTCAAATTGCCGTTAAGCACTCATACACTATACATATGCATATGTATATATATAGTTAATGTGTGTACATATGTACATACATATGTCGTTTTAAATATGTACGCGATAGTTGGTTAGCAACGACCGCTTGGATGGTTAGGTGTACATTAGGGTGTCCCAGAAAATTTCTTCTGAGAAATTCGGTACGCATAGGCCTCATTTTTTTTTCCTTTTGACCTAAAGCTCAGGTTAAGTTCAATCGCAGTAAATCTACGTTTTTAGTTTGCTATAGGGTTATAATTGAAAGGTCATTTAAAGAATTCTGGCGTTCTGGTGGAAACTCAAAAAATGTGCAAATTTGTTCTTGTACTGAGAAAATCATAATATATTGTAGACGTCATTGATAAGGATGATCGACTTGCATTCAGACAACCTTACAAACAACACTCTGGTGGTTAGTACCCCTTTAGTACTATGAGCAAAGGACTTCACCGGAGCACATGCCTCTAAAGCCGCACAACAAAACCGACACATGGTTTACCTTCTGTTAAATTTCTACAGCTCGTAACTTCCTCAGTCATCAGAAGGAGTTTCACTGATCTCCTAGGTTGCAGATTGCTCTCTGAAGTAAAAGTCTGCCTTTCAGACCTTTCTCGCAATTGTTAATAAAGCACAGAGCTGCAGAACTGTCAAAGCACACCAATGAGATGCCTCCTAATGTCGCCTGAGCACCACCTTCTTAGCTAGACCTCCGCAAACAATTCGGCTGTTGACGGGAAACACCCGAACAGGCACTTGATGGAAGCAGAACCACCTTTTAGGCTATTTACGAACTTATCGCACAACCACTGGATCCAACGATGTACAGACAAGCCCTTAGCAACATTTGCCGATAGACAACCACGAATTTTACCAACTTTTAAGGTCTGTATATCGACACCTGAGTGGAAGATTGACCTATCTCGGCAGCCAGTTCGAAAAGGCCCTATCTCAGCACATTTTTAATAAATTTTCAGCTGAGATAGGACGTTTTTGAACCGAATTTTGAGAAAGGCTATTCTTCAAACGGGGCGTTCTTTGGTCAAATTCTGAAGTAGGGCGTTCTTGAAAAGTTTTCTCAGATAGGGCGTTTTCGAGCTGGCTGCTGCGATAGGTCGATCTTCCAATCAGGTGTCGATATACTGTACAGACACGTTTGCTTAGCCTACCGTTAGTTGAACTTGACCACTATGATTGATAGACTAGCCAATTTTGGCAGGGCTTATTAGTGCCGCTGCAAAAACAACAAATGTTCAGGCGTCACAGACGATAGTGATGAAGAAGGCAGGATCCGAAAGCCCCGATGAAGTTAGATAACCCGTAGGCATACAGTCACGGAAGTAGATATTGGAGCTGTACAAAGCTGCGATCGATAAATAGGCTCGTCTTTAGGAAGTCTCATTTTCCTAAAACAAAATCTTAAGTATGCTTCGGCAAATATTGATATGCGTATTTCATTTTTCAGAAAAAAATTATCTTCTTACGTTCTGGGACACCCTAATGTATGCAAGTACAAAAAACCTGTGATAATAAGAAAATAAATATGTATGATACATATGTATGTACTTATTTAGTACATCCCAAACGTGTTCAAACGTAGTGTAGATAATCGCGCACTATTAAAATGATAATAATAGTATACAAATCAAATTAATTAATATAAAAATTTATGTGAAGTGGCATACGTATTATTTGTGTACACGTATGTATATCCGTGTATGTATGTACGTACATATGTTTGTTTCCCCATTAAAAACAAAAAAAAAAACCATACATAGTTGGGTGAAAAAAATGCTAGATGGCAGTATTCTATGCGCCACCAACGGTGCTGTACCATATTTCGAAAAGCAATCTACTAAGCAGTGAATAAAAAAAAAATGCAAGGAAATAAAAAAGGATACCGTTATGCCACTACTCAAATGGGGCATTTGTTGCAACTCATTCAAACACGCCATTTGAGTAGTGGCCCAACAGCATTCTTTCAAAAACGATTGGCAATAAACGTGAAGTGAAAATACATACATACCTAGTACAGAAAATCAACGCTTTGCGACAGCTTGCTTTCTAGCTTTCTTTACGCCCAGCTAAACATTTCAATTGCATGCTTTAAATATGGCGAATCGTATAGCAGCTTTAATAGAAATAATAAGATGTGACGGTAAAATGTGTTTATGAAATTAAAGTGGCGTGTTTCTAAAATTTCAAGTCATGTTGTGCTAACAGATGTATTAACACATACACACATACACATACTAGGGCGCATATAATCTGAACTTAAATCTGCCAATAGTGCTGTCAATAAATGTGCATGCATGAATACCCAGTTGACAATTTGAAGAGCAGAGCGTACATAAGGGGGTATTAATGCGAGTGATCTGCAGGTAGGTAGCTGCGCCACTGTTCTTCTTCTTCTTCTTCTTATTTAGCGCTCTAACCGTCTATGCGATTAGGGCCTTGTTTGACAAAGCACGCCAGTCGTTTCTCTTCTGTGCCAACTGACGCCAACTGAAGCCAAGTCCTTCTCCACTTGGTATTTCCATCGCAATGGAGCCTCCCTCTTCCTATGCTACCACCAACGGGTTCCGGGTTTTTTACTTTCAGAACTGGAGCGTCGGAGTCTATTCGAACGACATGGCCAGCGGTGCCGCTGTATTTAAATTCG